AACCGTATACATCATTCCACCAAACACTATTACTATACATACATTATTTATTTTGTTTGTTGTTTATACAGAGGTCTATAATTACTTTGATCTCTTTGATTACTCACTCCCCTTCCACTCTATAACGGGACAAATAGAGGAGAAAGAATTAATACAGGCGAACGTTAACAGAAATAGCACAAGAAATGTAAATCGTATATATATAAAATCCAAACCCCATTACAGCACACCTATTCATTAAATACTACATTAAATAATACATGTCAAAGTCCCTCTCGAATAAACACAAGAGACCCACACACACGCGCGCACCCACGCACGCACCCCATCCCAAGATTATCCCATATACATAAAGATAAAAAGCCCAAACATTAACATTATCAAACAAAAATATTACAAATACGTGAATATGCAAATTTGCTCATTTGCTCATTTTCTCAAATAAAGCTAAACCCTACTTTCATCACTCTTCTTCCCTCTCTTCTTTTTCTTCTTCCTCTTCCCCCTCACTGACTACGCTTGGAATGCTTCCAAGAGATTCTCGTCTCCTGCCAATGTCCCAAGAATTACGCTCACTGTTAGGCAGTGGCGGCAAATTCAACGTGTACACTGGCATGCTAGCTCTTGGCGTCAACCTGAGCCCATTCGGAGACGTCCGTTCATAAGAATCTCTACTCAGTGTGCTCCCTGATGAAGCCACAGTCGATCGCGTGTATCTCCGCGTATCGGTCGTATCCTCCCGAGTAGGAGGATAATCCTGAACGGTAGAAGAGGACTCGGAGGGAGAATTGTTCAAGAACGAGAAGCTTTTCTGTTGAGAAAGATGTGCTGGCTTTAGTTTGCTCGGTGATGGCGGTGGTGGTATTATTAATTGGGGTGGTCGAGGAACTTTGCGCAAAGTTTTTTGCGTCGCCGGTGAATCTGGCAGTAATGAAGATGACGACAGCGATGATGTCGATTGGGGGCGCGTGACGGAAAGAGATGGAATCGCGTGCAAAGGTGCGGCGACCTCGAGCTCAATGTCGAGTTGATTAGTGATACGCAAAGATTTACTATCAAACACTTTTTGGCCATGTTCGTTGAAAGTCGGTAATGGTAATGGTAATGGTGATCTCGGTGTTGGCTGAAGGCTGTCATCTTTCTCGACTTCGCGCAGGGACAAGGATGCAATGCTTTGCGCTTCTGACCTTATAAAATATTCGTCTGGCACATCTAGTATTCTATGACCTTTTCGTAACTCGAAGGAGAAGGTTTTTAGGAATCGCAAATCGTC